AAGGATGCGTTGCTCCTTGAAGATCCCATTGCAATTGCTCCACAGATCTGCTTTAAAGAAACTTAAACCTTAACCTTAACAGATATGGCAATTGTATTGTTAAAAGTTGGCACCAATTGGAGGAATGAGCTTCCTCAATTCTGCAGTGGCCCTGAAATAGGGTGAGGGATTTGTCCATATATTCAATTGCATTAGCTCCGCCATACATACATACGCCACAAAATGTTTCTCCTTTTGCACGAAATGGTTTCGAATTGTACAACAAATTTGCTGCATTGAATCAGGTCTGGATGGCAATGTGGGCTGGTTATGGATTGGAATTGCAGATGTGCACCGACATACCGCATAACGAGACAAATTTAATGCATTTAAACACTAACCAAATAGTAAATACTGTATCTCCTACTATACTATTTGGTTAGTGATTTAAATGAACTCGAATAGTGAATCAAGATCATTTGGAAGATGCCACCCGTCCCATCCCTGGATGGAGTACTAATCGGATCAAAAGTCAAAGGAGAATCGAGGTTATGAATATCGATATGTACGCACTTATATTCAAATATTGTTAGTGTGTGTGTGTGTGTATGTGTGTCTGTGAAGCGTACGTGAAGCAATTTTGCACGTTCTTTTTCCTCAACTCTGCGCTTGTGCCACCACATATGTAAGTTTGGTTACACATTTCTTGGTAAAACGTTTTTAATCGTATGTTTGGTGGTTTGGAAATTTGGAAAACGAAATCCGTAAGTCTACTTATAACTAAAATCAACGCAAAAAAACGTAAAATGGACACAGGCGCAGAAGTGAAGACCGCCACGAGTCGCGGGATATTTGTTGTTCTGACGCTCGCATTCGGGTGCGAGTGTGAGTGAGAGAGATCCGAATAAGGAATAGAAGACAATGCAAGGATCGAAAGAGTAAAGAGGGCATAAAGCGTGTAAAATACAAGTGTTATTTTTTTCTGTCGCCTCGCTTCTGTTTGTCTGCGTCTGCGCCGCCTTCTATGTTTCGGCTTCTGCTGTGCCCCTGCCACGTCATATCTCATTTCTGGGACACAAAAAACAGAAATAGAAACAGAAACAATAATAATATAATAATCAAATAATTTTAAGCGCCTCTCAAGGTTGTTCGGTATGTATTGTTTATGTGTGTGTGATTTGTGCATGTAGGAGCGTTGCCAGAGGGTTCGGAAAAAAGCCAGCCACAAAGTAAATAATAGCAATAGCATGGCATGGCTTGGTATCAGCGGTCGGTGGGGGGGAGGGTTAGCGCCATTCTGTATTTTTTTGTTTGCTGTTGTTATTTCTCGTTTTGATGTTCTTGTACTGTTGTTGCTTTTTGCCTTAGATTTAATTAATTAATTTCCTGACTAATTCAACCCCCTCTCCACTATTCCCTTTCAATATCCACTTCACGCAGTCAAATGAAGATAGAGGCGGAGAGCGAGCGACAGAGACAGAGTAAATGGCAAAGTGAAAAACTGTATTAAAACTAAGGAAACAGAAACAGAAGAAAACGCAGCAACAAAATCATAGGGCATTTTGAGCAGAGAGTAGAGTAATGGTACTTCAAGGGAGGTGGAGAATTTGAGATTATCCATGGATGAGTTTTGTTGTTGTGCTTGCGCTTGCGTTCCCTTTGGCTTGTTGTTGTTGTCTTTGCATTTTTTAGGCAGTGGGTTTGCTTTTGGCTTAGCTGTTGTTGCTGCCTTCGTTTTCTATCTCTTCCGTTTGGTTCGGCTGCGCTTCAGCATCTACATATCTTGGTCTTCCTTCCTTCTTTATTTGTCGCGCGCGAAGGAGAGGGACAGAGCAATGAAGTGACTTCTTAGACTTTCGGCGCATGAAGAAATATCAAAGTTCAGTTTTCGTTTCATCGTTTTAATTAGCGTTGTATACCCTTTTAAAGGTAATTTTAATTTAAACATACACATGTACATATATGTATGTATGTTATTAAATATCGTTACACATACAAGTAACGCAATTTAAATGCCGTTTTTTTTAAGCGCACAAGGAGAGCTCTGGAATAGGAGATCATACACATGTCGAATTCACCGAAACATTTCTGTTGCTGCGTGTATGTAAATACGTGTGTGTGTTTTTACATATGAATCCCCGTTATCGTTGGTTTCAACTCCCATTCTTCTCCTGATGTCGTCGCTGTTTACTTCTTTCATTCCTCCTTCTCCCCCTCCTATGATAATGCGATGAAGACGACAAGGAAGCTAACTCCGCGCTGCTTCTATGGCTGTCTCGTTCTATTCTTCCTTTGGGTTTGCGCTGCTCATTCCGTTATTTTTTTCTTGGGTGCCCGCTTTCCGCTGCCCTTCGTGTTTAGTTTGCTCCCATGAAGAAACTATAAAGGAGGGCCCGTCGGCTTTTTAGAGGGAAACGTAACAATGCTGTCGTGTGAAAGGGCATGCAGAGAAAGAGAGAGAGAGCCACTTTACAATAATAAGAGTACAAGCTGCTCATACTTGCGTCCCACCACGGTCGGTGGGAAATGACCCGAGAAACGCTGCCGACGACGGGCTCTCCTTTATAGTTGCCTCATGGTGTGCTTAGCGATGTGATGCAGGTGATGGTTCCAGATCTGCTCTGCGGCAGAATTCTTCGTTGGAACAATAATAGGTAAACTGTTAACTGCAGAGAAACCCACACCAATTGCACTTGTTACTCCCTCGAACATTAGTCAGCAGGCAGGGGACACTCATATCCAAAGCTGAATGGAATACTTATGGCATTTGTTGGTTATATTTGCTGGCAGCGCTGCTGGCAACGTTTTGAATGCGCAGCGATTGCTATTTTGACCAACTGATTTCATGTATTACCATAGAGACCATCGCTATCTGGAGACACACCATGTAATAATGAAACATGCCCTTCACAGATCAAGATCGCCACCATCATGGAAACGATCCAGCGCCACACAATGGCGGAGTGTGCCATGGCTTCCTTCTTAAATGGTCAGTACTACCAGTCCGTTTGTTGCACGGCCGCACTGGTCTACATGGGAGAGCAACTGCGCAGCCACGAGCGCCATCTGATGTGCGACATCTTTTTGGGTATCATCAATAAATTCATTATCGAGAAGATAGAATTGGAGAAGCAGTTGGAGGCTAAACGCCAGGCCCTACAGCAGATAAGCGAACCGACTGAGGAGCAAAAACAAGTTGTGGAGGCCGCCAAGGAGGGGATCAATATCCTGCTATGGCATTTAACGATGTACATCAGCGAAATGTTGGTCATCACAATTGAGGCACTAAACTATTTCACCACTGATGACCACGAGCCAAAAGTGTTCCTTTACCGCTTGATGGGCGAGTGCCTGGGGATCATGTGCCAATTGGTGAACACTGATGATGATGTGGTCAATACGGCGGCCTCCATTGCCTATGCCTTTGGGATGGTGTACGGCTTCCATCTACCACCGACCCACCCCTCCAACCTGGATAACATCATCTCCTATTGCATATTTTCGGTGCGCAATTTGCGGAACCTCGATGCGGCCATTGTTCTGGCCTCTTATGCCATATCCACCTGCACAGAGGAGTTGATCCTTGAGTCCACACACGTGCAGGCCACAAGACACCGCCTCCACTTACTTCAAATGTGTCTGGATGTGTGGACTACCATAAGGGAAACCATGAATAGCGACAGCAACACCAATGAAAATGCTGGTAAACAACTGATGAGACAATGGACAGAACTTGTTTGTTTCTGATTTGTGAGAAATATTTTTCAGCCTCTGAAGCCCCGAATGCAACTGCATAAGCCCATGGATCAGTATCACCCTTCATTCACTCGGGAATCTAGAAAGTAGCAGGACACAGCACACTCGCTCCTCCTACACACACAAACTATACACATTTTGAGTAAGTTTTCCAGTTATCTTTTTATGGAACCAGACGCCTATCATTCCCCTTTTCTTAGCAGCCTAAACCTAAAACACAACCAATGTTGCAAGAACTGAAGAACTCTTTTCCAATGCAAGTCATTTGAGAGTACAAAGAACACATAAGTGATAGAATTAAAAACAGGACTACATATCAACCAAGGGACAACAATTATTAGCTCACTTCTCAGTATGATTGCCTAAAGCAGAAATCTACAAACATATAATCAAAGGATTATAATATAATCTTATACGCTCCTCACACGGAAAATACATAAACAACAAGTAGTTCCTAAAGGAAGAAAATTCCAACTAACTTTCAAGAAAATTAGTAGAACTCTGAACCTCTGTTATATGCGGAAGAACCGCCGGAATTCCAATTTGAAATGGGAATTTAATTGATACTTATGTTTTGTATACGCCTATCAAATATCATAGCTAGTAGCATTGAAATTCAAGCGTTAAATTAGTTCATAAAAGAGAGAATGAGACCCCCATTCGGAAAGAATACAACTGAGTAGAACTCAGACCCTATTTTTTGTTTGTGCGGAAGAACCACTGAATAATAGTCGTTTATTTTAATGATAATCAACTTGGTTTGGAGATGGATTCATGGAGATTCTGGAATGAAATTAAATAATATATGTATAAAAAAGAAGAAAAAACGTATTGCCTGTAATCTAAGCATTCATTCACACTACAGTCGCTCTCACTCAGTCACTTACTCACGAGTACATAGGTTGCTTGAGGATATGATTCACGCTTCCATTGAGAACATTCCACTGCTGCTATCAACAGGGCCCTGTGTCGCCTCTAACCCCCCGTCCCAGACCTTATCAAGAGTGGGAGAGTGGCCTCAAAATAGCGGTGGGTTGTCGGCTCTTAAAATCAGCTCCCGGTTGTGCCCTGCTCCACTATGATTCGGTGAATATCAAAAAAGTTAAGAGAGTCTTTGGCAGGGGGCAAAAAGTATTCCATTAATCCGATCTATATTTATGTTTCTATGAGATGAAAGGGGCGGTAAGGGTGGGGATTGCGGGGAACGGCTCCTCATGTCCTTTGTGAACGCTGTCCTCAACTATGGCCACTTGCGCTATGAATTTATAATGCTGCGCACCCACGAGAACGAGACGCTGGACAGGCATTTGGTGAGTCCCGAGTCGCAGGTGTTTGTCCCCAGAGTGTTTGTTTAATCGTTGCAATCGCTGCTTCACAGGACTTCTTTGAGATGGTGAGAGCCGAGGATGAGAAGGAATTCGCATGTCGCTTCAACGAAGAGCATGTGGTTCCATGTTCGAGTTGATGCGCAAGCTCAGCCACTCGCCAGCGTATCCACACATGTTGTCGCTGCTGCAGTATATGCTCCTGCTACCCTGTAAGTGTCACAGCCACTGGCATGGATCTGCAACTAATTTAATTTCTGTTTGCAGACACGGGCCACTGCACCGAGCATTGGCAGCTGATTGATCGCGTGGTCCAGCAGATTGTGCTGCAAGTGGCGCAACGACCCAGCAGCGACCTCATACCCGATCCCCTGGATGATCCCGGCCAGCAGCTGAAGCTGGCCAGCGAGTCGCCAGTCCATGATCCGGATGTGGCACCCCTGCAGATCGATGTGGGCAGGCCCTGACGCAGGCGCGCAAGCGGGCGGATGAGCTGGAGCGCGAAAACTTTGAGGTGCAGTCGCGTCTGGCCAAAAAGGAGCAGGAAATCGATCTGTGAATGCAGGAGAAGGAGGATCTGGAGACGGGACTGACAGCACTCGCAGGCCGTGCAGCGCTCCCAGAGTGCCGAGATGAAGGCGGAGGATCTGCAGCGTCGACTGCACAGCGAGCAGCAGGAGCAAGCGCCGGTCAGACCGGCAACCTTTTGGTCATCGGGTATGCTGCAATAGTGCTGTGTCGCCGCCATCACCGCCGCCGCCGATGTTGAATGCCATTCCACCGCCGCCGGCACCACCAATGGCCCCAGCAATGCTGCCACCGACGCCGCCGCCATGTCCATGCGCACCCACACCGCCGCCCAGCATGACGCCAGCAATGAGTGAGTAAAACAAATGATCCAGAGAGAGATCCAACACTGATCCGTGTGTGTACCTGCAGCTCCTGTGGCGCCCAAGGTGGAGCTGCCGAAGAAGAACGTGCCACAGCCCACGAATCCCTTGAAGAGCTTCAACTGGTCCAAGCTGCCAGATGCCAAGCTGCAGGGCACCGTCTGGAGCGAACTGGACGAGAGCAAGCTGTACAACAACATGGAACTGGAGTCGATAGACAAACTGTTTTCGGCCTACCAAAAGAATGGAGTGCCAGTAAGAGTCCTCCTACTGCTTCGCGTTCGCTTCTGCCGCAGCTCTAATTATGTTCTTACCCCTGATAGGCACACGATGGCTCCTACGAGGATCTAGCACCCACTGGACAGAAGAACAAACAGAAGGTGCTCTCCATGATCGATGGACGACGAGCCCAAACCTGCACGATTCTCTTGAGCAAACTGAAGATGAGCGATGTGGAAATATCCAAGTAGGAAGAACGAACCCAAACTAAGCCCAAAGCCTGACTAATCGTTTGCCTTGAACTTCCGCAGAGCCATCCTCTCCATGGACTGCAATGAGCAGCTGCAGCTGGACATTGTTGAGCAGCTGTTGAAGTTCACGTCCTCGGCCGAAAAGCTAGCCTTGCTGGACGAGCACAGTGAGGACATTGAATCGCTGGCACGTGCCGTTTTCTGTCGTTATCCAAGTGAGTTGCTGCTGCTGCGCACCTCAGATGCAGTCTGTGATTTATATCTGCTCTTTCTCTCTGCCCCCACATACAGGATACCCCACTACGAGCAGCGGCTGAAGAGTCTGCACACAAGAAGCGCTT